GCGTGGGGCCCTGTGTCCGTTATACTGATTGGATCTTTTGCATAGTTCATCAGACTTCTGTGCCGTGCACGACCGAAGCCGACCATTTCCCTGGAATTCAACATCGCGTTTTATCATTTGACTAGAGGTCACAACGGCGGTAGGAACCATAATAGGACTTAGTTTTAATTCTACATTACTTGGCATAAATTCATTCAACGAAAATGTGTGTAGGTATCTCCAAACATTTATTAGTCTTTATAATTTCTGAGGACTAAGATTTTGGGCTAAACGCGAAACAGAAGACAAAAAAAGAAACAAAAAAATAATATTATTTCGGCTACATACTTTAATTTAGCACTGTCATGGATAATTTAATAAATAATTTTACACACAACAACAAAACTGTAGTAACTTTATATAGGGACGTTCCTGTATGCTGTACGTCATGTTATATTATATAATGAATGTTAAAAAAAAACTTTATTTAAATAAGACATTTTAACGGTTTAAAACACGATATATTTTAGGTCAACTTTCTTAAGAATTATTTTTAACTACGGCCCGACGTTTCGGATGCTTTGCAACAGCCGTGGTCACGGGGAGACTGTCTACCCGTGATCACGGCATCACGGATTCTGAAAAAACTAAAATATATCGCGTTTTAAAATGTTAGTGTAAGTAAGTATTTTATTTAAATGTGTACTACTCGCGTAAACTACAGACAGTATGTAAGAAAACTTTTGTGAACAACCTAACAAAACACGGTCTTTATATTAAGTTACATTTTAAACAAAATAAATGCTCTTTTATTTATATAATAAATGATCTTAAAAAAGTACATAGCTTAAGGCTAGTGGATCACAAACCTAACCCGCAATGCGATGTTTCCGAAACCACATGTTGTCGCCGTCGTTTGTTGACATAACGCGTTCCAAATTGCCACTTCCTAGTTCCTGTTGAATTATGCTTTCCTGGTTGACCAGAGACGTAATGGAGAACAACAGGAGTGGATTGCGTTTTAAGAACTTTAAGCGACTTTAGTAATCAAATAAACAAACAAATGTTGTATGGTATTCGTCTTGTAGATTTGCTAAGTCATCACATGTCAACTACTTAGAATAAAAAATGTTTAAATTTTAGCGAAACGGGAGAGCTTAACATAAAATTTGGCTTATTATCACTTTAATTTGGTAATACCTCATACGATCAGAATGCCTTACCAAATGTCGTGTAAGTGCTTTTTAGACAATTTCGTGAACGACCGCCGATTCGTGAATAAAGGATCTGTGATCTCGGGAGTGAACGATATTCGTCAACAAAGACTATTATATCACATCACAGACTATATCACAGTCTACTTAATGGTTGGCTCTGTTTGCTAACATGCTGGTTATGCATGGATCCCATAAGCTGGCATTGGCTAGGCTTGCACAGCGGCTTAGTACGTCATTTTAGGTAGCGCGTAATACTAGTTATGTCTTCGCCAACAAACTCACCTACAAGGCATAGTTAGTCTTATTTATAATGATAAGTTTGGCAAATTACATTAGTACTGTAGTAGATAGATAAGACGTAATTTTATGTTATATGAACGAAGGAACCGTGAATAGCAATTTAAAACACGATATATATTACTGACTCCGACTTATTTGGAAACTATTTTGAAACTAAGGCACGACGTTTTGCCTCATTTGCAACAGCCGTGGTCACGGGGAGACTAAAAAATAAGTACCAAATAAGTTTGACGAATATATATTGCGTTTTAAACCGTTAAACTGTTTTATTTATGTGTGTACTACTCGCTTAAACTACAGATAATATTTAATTGTATAACAGTGTTCTTCAATTAAAAAAATAAACATTAAATTTTACCACTCCCTTCTGTTTCATGTTTCACCATATATTTTGTATTTTTTATACAACATTATACAATTTTCATTTTATTTATTTACTGAAATAAAAAAAACAGCTTTAAAACTGATCATCCTATTTTGGACAAGGTATAGAAAGAACTCAGTAATTAAGAACGATTACGATTGTAAAACCAAACACCGATATTGACCAATTCGATTCTACACCATGATATCACCACTTCACACGATTATTCGATTATGATAATGAGAAAGTCAAATCAGAGAATAGGTAATTCGTGTTTTGTGCCAGGCAGGGAGGTCGATGCCCGTGCAAGGGAGACCGCAAGATCTGTATGAAGTATGTTCGAGCGAGATGCCGATAAATAACAACGTCAAACATTTTTTCATTTGTGAAAATCCGGGTTTACAATGTAACTTTGGTAAGACTTTTAGACACTGTAACTTTGAAATGATATATTATGCTAAAGTTACTTAGAAACATATATATTCTACTGACTGTTAACTAGCTGACCTGGCAAATGCTCTGTTACCATATTAAGTATCTCGACTTAATTTGATAAAAATAAAAACAGTTTTAATTAGTTGATCTTAAACGACAGAATATTGCGGGACATTTTAGTATAAAAAATCTTTTATACATATTTTTCATTATACTGCACCGTTTTCGCAGCGCACGCAACAATATCCCTCAAAGATGAATAATTTTCCCCGTTATGGGGGAATATTTTCCACTGTTTCTTCGCTGTTATTGGTCACAGCCTGATGATTTGCCAAAACCAAAAGCCTTCCTAGATAAAAGGTCTATTTAACACAGAAAGAAGTATTCCATTCGAACCATTGGTTCCTGGGATTAGCGATCAAACAAATAAACATCGCGATGCGTCTTATAGGAGCAAAGAAAAACCGGAAAATGTGAAAAAACCGGGAAAATTATTCATGCTTGTGGGTTTCCTAGGCGTAGGTACGCTAAAAAAGCGGTTCTAGATACCCAAAAATAGGCGAGATCCTCTTTGAATGATTTTAAAAAATGTTTTCGACAGTATACGTGTATCTTTGAGGATTATCAAGAACGACGGGATGCTGACAGCGTCGTGGGCAACAAAAAGCTCTAATGTATAAAGGTGGGGGGGAAAATTTAAAAAAAAATGTTTGCCCAAAGTAACTATTCTACGCAGACGAAGTTGCAGTATCGAATATAAAATTCGACAACAATGGACAAAGTTTCCAAACGAAGGAAGGTAATTTGTCCATTACGTCGGCTAGGACCCTTGTCAACTGTCATTCGATGATTAGCCAAATACACCAAATGGGAAACTCCACCTGAGGTACCATATAGGTGGACGATCATTAATCGTGAAATTTCCCTTTTTTGTTGGACCATTTGTAAGGTAGATTAAATATAGTATTGTCATTAAAGAAGTAGGTATTGTAAGAAGAAGAGGAATTACTTGCCAGAGTCGTTCGTGATGAGGACACGGTTTTGGGAACGTTTCACTGCTCAATATATTTTTTTTTCATGTTCATTCAATACTGTCTATAGTTTACGCGAGTAGGACACATTTAAATAAAACACTTTAACGGTTTAAAACGCGATATATTAGTTAAACTTATTTGGAAATGGAGGCTGTGAAGTTACCACGGCTGCTGCAAAGCATCCGAAACGTCGGGCCAAAGTTAAAAGTCATTTTCAAATAAGTTTAACTAATATATCGCGTTTTAAACCGTTAAAGTGTTTTATTTAAATCAAGTTCATTATTTAAAACATCCTTCAGATACATAGTTGTTTGTCGATATTTTTCCTTGGGATTCAAATCTAAGTCCTTACTTTAAATGTAACATGACGCTGGCAATTGGCACGAGGCGATACAATGAGATAGGTATATTAAAAAAAATTACGTCATGTAAAAAGTTCTTCCTACTAGATGACGTAACTAAACAAAATAATAAACATGTAAATAAATTAGAAGTTAATGCTTTAGTTTTTAAATTATAACTTATCTACAGTAAATAAAATAAAAACACCAACTTTTACAATGATACTTTTACAACTTTTACAAGATAGTCTTTATTTAATAAATAGTAATATTACTATTAAAATAGATCTCGATAGAATCACATTTTGACGGTCTCTTTGATTCAGTGGTACGTAAAACTGATAATAATCAACATATTGCGTGTTTGATTCTCACCGCATCTAACATGCTTGTCAATCTTTTTATAATTGTTTTCAACAAGACCTCGCCTGGAAAACCCGGACAATGTAAAAGGAACTTCCTAATTTCGACAGAGGAAAATTTCATTCATCTAAAAGCGGAATAGGTCGACAACACATCTTAATTAGATGTAACAAGGCCAATTTATCTTTTGTCTGCCCTGGTCTGTCATAACAAAAATTACATCTAATTTTAAACGAGTTCTTCTGCGACCTGCAGTATTGACCTTTGTATCATTAGTTTGAGGCGGCCACGTTTGTCTTTGGGTAGCATCCGCAGTTCTGACGCTACGAAATTACCAAATATCTGCAAAAAGATTTATCTTGGTATTACTCTAGGACACTATCCATCCCAATAAACTTCAAATGTCTGTAAAAGATTGATGGAAGTAAATTGCATAGCAAAGGTAGCAAACCCGACATAGGTTCAAACTCCTCGATGACAAATATACTTGAATTTAAAATATATAAAGCTAATAATACATAAATACGCAGATAGACGACCCTCCAGGGTCCATAAGTCTGCGAAGTAATGGCATAATATTATTATAGGTACCTATATTTATATAGGTAGAAATATCGAAATTGCGCCCGTGTTCAAAATTTTGTATAGCTGTGAAAATTATTAGACGAATAATATTATTTTTTACTTTGATTTTAAGTGCTTGTTGCGGGGCAAAAACTCTTCAGGATCTAAAAATCTAAAATACATTCAAATAATGTTCGACTCGGGCAGGACTCGAACCGGCATCGTCAGCGCTCCGTGCTGTTGCTCATTGTCCATTTTTTTCAACCCGATACCTGCACCTCTCGCGCCATGTAATTTCAACTTTGACTAATGAATCCTAAGTAAATTTTAAAGAATATATAAGATAAGAAATACATTTACCTGACATTCATCACGAATATGGCTAGATGATATAATGGACGGTTCAAAATCTTCCAACAGTATCGTTACCGGGGATATCATGATATGGCGCGGTTCCAGGATGTGTCTTCGAATTGCTGTTTGATGTTATATCACTTTGCACAGTAGCGATTTGTTCTTCATTGGCTTGAAATTCAGCTAACTGGAGAACATGGAGATAGATGATCAGCGATTTTTTATATTCCAACAGTCTATACAAATACATAATACTTTGTCAAATGTAGAAGAATAAGTAAATAAAAGGTATGGAGGTAGACGTTCTTTTGATCTGGCCGATGTATTCATAGAAGTCTTAGTTATAATTATATGAAATACTAGCTGTGTCAGCGACTTCGTCCGCGAGAATCGATTAATTTTGAAACCCGTTTAAATTCATTTATTAAGCAGTTACCCATGACGTCGTTCGCGTCCCTTCCCGTCGTTCTTGCAAACATAAAACATAAAGATAGACATATAGCTTCACGGACCTTTTTTTAGATAATTCAAAGACGATTCATTCTTTAATACTTATTTTTTAGATATCTTGAACCGTTTTTACCAAATACGCATCGGAAACCCTCTGAGATGAAAAATTATCCAGCCTTTTCCACATTTCACGCGGACAAACAAACAAACTCTTTAGCTTTATATATTAGTATAGAAGTATAGATTATAAATTAACGAAGAAAATGTTAATTTCAACTTTAAATGATCGGTCGTATGTTATATGTTTGAGGTTCTTACGAAATAATTTTTATTTTATGTTAACGATAAATACTGTCTATAGTTTAATGTAGTACACATTTAAATAAAACACTTTAACAGTTTAAAACGCAATATATTAGTTAAACTTATTTAAAAGTGATTTTTAACTTCGGTCCGACGTTTCGAATGCTTTGCACCAGCTGTGGTCACGGGGTGACTCGGGTCTCCCAACGGCTGCTAACTAATATATCGCGTTTTAAACCGTTTACAGTGTTTTATTTAAATGTGTACTAATCGCGTAAACTATAGACAGTATTTAATGTCTAATGTTGTCTATTGCTGATTGCATTAAATGCCTCTCGTGTTGGGTTCCGAATCCAGGGAAACAGTCAATAATTCTGCCGGGAAACTAGCTAGTTACTGTAATAAATCGGATTCATTAGTGTAATAAATTTCAATTTATTTCGGTTTAAAGTGAGAACTATACCACATAGCAATAGCTTTAAATGTAATCATATGTTAGTTGTACCTCAAGATTAACAGGCCCAGTTATGCCCAGGGATTCCAGGGGGGCACGTTGCATGAACATGAGGGAGTCAAAGTATTCCCACCCGCTCCCCTCTGGACCACACTGCCTTCGCTTAATCTTCCTCAATTCATTATTGAATTGTGTCCGTAAATTATGAATTTTCCTATTGATCTCTTCAGGGGAAGTTGTAAATAAGTTCGCCAAGAACTCCAGCTTGGCTTGGCGCGCCGACCTGACTTTGACGAGGGGGTGACTAGTGTCCCATAGTTCCTTGCAGTCTCGTTCCAACGTTTTGATCAGTTTCATTGTATTTTCCGAGTTCCAATGTGGCTTGGAGCAAATCTTTAGTTCTTCGTCCACATCAGAATCGTACTCATGTTTAGGCCAGACGTTATTTTCGGAGTTACTCGAATTCGAATCCATTTCGACACAACAGCGCGCTCTCGTAAGCGCTCTAGCGAGACTGCGCGTGTAATTACACGGCGTCGGGGAGTGTTCAAGCAAGCGTTGAGAGCAGTGTCGAATGTCGAGCGGTGCGGCAACGTCGCATTACGTGAACAATGACTATTGCTCGTCAGACTTTAACAGTCAGAGTTATGTATCATTATAAGTCTTAACTAGATAAAGACCTTAATGATCAAAACATTACCACCTAGATTTAGTTATGAGAGTAATAAAAATTGTACGTACAATTCCTTTTAACGCGTTAATAGCCCATTGCTCATAACGGAGAGGGTGTAAGGACCCACCATGCTTCTTCAATGCGGATTGGCGGGCATTAGTGACATTTAATCTACATCCAGTCCCATGGGTGCCACGAGGGTAATACTACCTCCCAAAAAACGGGTTAGTTATAAAAAAATAAAGTAGTTATTTAGATATATACATATGTATGTAAGTACGTATTGAACTACGATATCGTCCGATCTGAAGTAGACTTTGGAGCTCGTAGTTTACAGTCGATTGTATAAACCTCAATATTAATAAGAACATTAGTTATACGTTATTTTTACATGTTTAACCTTCGTTTAAATAAACGTTAGCTTCACGTCTGAACTCTGAAGTAAGGCTTACAAAGTGTCGTTAATCATGCTAGATGCGATGTGTGAAAATGTTACAGAGCTGCTGATTAGCGTTGATTAGCGGGTTCAAACAAAGTGCACGGCTTCGTTTGACTTAGTTAAGACCTTCATCGTCTCTTTATCAAAAACCTTATGGTACTGAAATAAATATGGGAGACGGCCTTAAGTAATATAAGGAAGTTTCGTTAAATATCAACTACGACGGTACAGATGGCGCTAGTGTGGCCGTTTTTACTTTGACTTTAGGGACACCACGGCTGTTGTAACGCATCCGAAACATCGGGCCGTAGCTAAAATAGCTTATAAAGAAATTATAATATATGTTATGAATACTGTCTGTAGTTTACGCGAGTAGTATTAGTTTACACATTTAAATAAAACACTTTAAAGGTTTAAAACGCGAAATATATTAGTCAAACTTACGCAACCATGGCTGCAGCAAAGTATGCGAAACTTCGGGGCGTAATTAAAATAATTTTCAAATAAGTTTAACTAATAAATATCGCGTTTTAAAACGTTAAAGTGTTTAATTTAAATATATGTAGTGTCTTATAAGGAAGTCGCGGACGAGACCTGATTTCTCTAAATTTCACAATACATTTCGCGTTTTAAACCGTAAAACATCGTGCAATAACTCCTAATCTACTACATTACTACTACCAATTACCATACACCCCAAAATTTCCCCGTCAGACAACCCGTTTTTCTCGAAATGTTCATCCTCTGTAGAGCAGCACGTATAAGCAGCCTAAATAACTGAAATTAAAACAAAGTAGTACAATGCAGAACTTTACAACAATGACGAAATTGACGAACATCTAATATCGATAGGTTTTACGCGCCAAAGTATTTTTTTTAAACAGCTTTCTATGTGCCAGCCAGTTCGAAATTTAAATTAAACCTTTTATAAGTTACCTCTTCGGTCGCCATGTTGCGGAGTAGAAGATCGTTCCATTTTTAAATTACGCGCCAAATATGATTTTTAATAGTTATTTGGCCGCTAAACACGACAGATTTGGATTTTCATACAACTATTGCCGGCCATTGCTCGACCAGAACAGCAAGTTCGAGTTATCTCGAAGCAGGATGCCAAAATGCTCAATTTTCACACAAACACATTAAACCGAGTCAGAATAAGTTGATAACAATACAAATGACACAAGTGTCGTATATTAATTAGTGAGGAAACGTGACCGGCTGGGGAAGTCGTGAGGACCGAGGGTGAAGGGATTAATATCTAAATAATGAGACGCACGCCCCGCCCATGTACCGTCAGCAGAAATCTCTGTTCAGAATTCTATTTCTTTTAAATTTTTCGTTATGGATATACAAGTAAGCTAATAAATATTTAAGTTCAAAGGAAAGAAGACCTTGAATTTATTTGACGTATTACCTACTAGTGGAGAAGTTTTGAAAATTATTATTGTCTATACCAACACGACATTTACACGTAACTATACATACCGACGAAGTTACATAAAGAATGTAATATGATGCTTTCATATCTTAAGACCACGACAATATCGGTGGTTTATACTGCAAAAGTGACAGAATATTTTAAATTTGAATTACCTTACGTAATTAATTGAATTTGCTGTCGGTACATTAGATACGCTTACGATGTTACGATATCTCTCGGGAGTGGAAGGGTGATTTTTTGAACGGGATTTCTAGAGAATATTACATTTGAAAATACCTTCTGGAAAAATTGCCATTTTCCTTTGCGAATAAGGTGAGAATTATTCAGTGTTGTTGGTATTAGATAGCAGTTTCATATCATTGTTTTTTATCTACATATATCATTAAAGTATTTTACACATGACAGCGAAACATATTTTAGAGAATATCCTAAATATTTCGATTTATATGCCAACATATAACGTTGTATTTTTAAAATAGAAACTAAAGGTAACTAACAAAAAATTACCTATAAAAATAAAGTTTTAAGGGCTTTTGTATTTATTATATTAATTTCTTCCCTATTAGTTCTCACTTGAACAAAACTTAATGTATACCTACTTAGGAATATAAAACAATGAAACATACTTCACCACGATTGTAAGTAAGGCTGTGTAAAACTACAGATTATAAGTATTTATTGTGTACATTTGAATAAAGTTCTCAAAATCTATTTTAACAAAATACCTAAACCTCAAAATATCCCAATCTATAGCGTTTCACTCAGTGTATTCTCACCCTTATACTGAAGACAATTCAAGTGGAGGGTGCTAACCGGAAAAAATGTCGTTTGCACCCTGATTTATCCCCGTACATCCCTATCTACCCCGCGCAGCGAGAGGGTTATAATTTCCACGCCGTTGAGGACCGATTAAGCGAACGGGTTCAATCAAAGGCATACTCAATAATGATCGAAGTCATTACCGTGGATTTTGAATTAGGTTTAAAACACTTGTTAGATACTGTCTATAGTTTACGCGAGTAGTACACATTTAAATAAAACACTTTAACGGCTTAAAACGCAATATATTGGAAGACGACTTAGTATTTAATGACGGAGAAGGGCAGACATTCAGGAAGACATTGGTAGGAGATGAAATACCCCAGTCAAATGATTCGTAAAAGACGATGTGCTATCGACCTATTTTCACTTTGTATATTCGGAAATCTACAAATTAAAACTAAAACGCAGTTTTACTCTTCACACTTAACAAACGGCGTTATCGTCTGTAGACGAGAGTCGGACGAAATATCAATATTCCAAGTTTCCAACCACCCATGACGAATCCAGATTTTTCACATGATGTCCAATGGTTTAGATGGCTTTGATTGATTTATTTTTCGGTAATTTATATCCAAAAGCTACTTTTAAAAATGCGGCAATAACTTTACTTTGCAGCACGATTACTTTGTTATGCAGCCAGGCAAGTACCATTTTAAAAACTTGACTTACCTTGAATATTATTTATATTTCATAGTTCTCTCTGTTGCAATGCGCGACACTGCACCGCGTTACAATAGTTCGCTAGAGATGTCGCTACTAGTACGTTAGTGAGATCAAACATCAAACAATAGTAATTAATTCTTTACAGGAAAGCAATAATGCATTAAATTAATTTTCAACCGTTTTATACGCAAACGCTAATTATTTAAATGACACTTCCTAAAATTCCACGGGTTTCAAGCTGTTAAAAATCGTTTTACTTAATGTTTCCCACTCGAGCTAAAAACATAATAAAATAAAAAGTATTTATCAAGATATCGTTAATTAGTGCCAACTTATCAGTAGTCAATTAAATGCTAATTGGATCTTGATAGTGACAACGAAAAAACATTTTTAAAACTTCATTAAACGAAAATACGTTTAATTTTGAACAAAAAACGCACTTCATACATGGGTTCCGGATTCCGCGATTTACACTATCCTCTCGATCGCTAGTGGTTGAAGTGTGGTCGAAGTTGTTCTTTGTTGCGTGAAGCCTGTAAAATGAAACTTGGCGATAAAGGGAGTGGCGGCGAGTTTCTTGCCAGTTCTTCTCGTTTGTTCTACGCCCTTGATTTAAGAACTGGTAGTATATAAAATTTTGAGGTTATTTTAACAGGTGTGTCGTTCATAATTGGACCTAGTAAGGTACTGTCTCTGAGTACATGCCTGCATGCATTTGGATTTTTATAAAATATTATTTTTCCCTAGACAATAAGAAAATTAGTTTTAAGTTGTCATAAGACATTACTGTACTGTTTAGTTTCCTTAGTAAATAAATAAATAAAAAATAGTTAATAGTAACCTACATGATTAAATGATTTTGACTTTAACTAACATCGCTAGGTAATTATTGCCTGTTGTCAGTCTTTGTCCCTGAATTACCCGGGATTTAGTCCCGCCAATACTGCACAAACAATCCAAATATACTTTAATAGCGGAGCGGTGACAGTTAAAAGTTGGTTTATCACGCCCTCTCTCATCTCTTTGCAACGCTAAAAACACATTCGTCATAAACAAAGTGAAAGCTACCTTATAGTATTAAAATAAGACTTAAATTCATTCAGCAATATGCATGAATGAACTGTTTAAACGCGAACGAACGTAGAGTAATCAATCGATGTCCGTTTCCAGTTGGACTTAACATAAAATGTATGCATTGAGTTTTAAACTCTATTTTAATATTATTTAGGTTGGAAATCTTATTGATGTGGTGGAGAGAATGATGTTAATGGTACGTGGAAACCTGATAATGAATTGCCAAGTTCGGGGCAAATACAAGTCAAGCGAAAAACGCGGACTAGATAACTAGTGACGTGTGCGATCGATATCGGATGTTGATCGATTATCGATGTTAATGATATCGATAATTGGTTTCTAGGACGTAGTAAGTATTGATA